CTGCAGGGTGCCCGGCCCCACTCCCCCCCAAGCAGCCCCCAAACAGCCCCCACGCTCCTGACCAGGCTGTGCAAACCCCTCGCCCTGAGCATCACCCAAAGGCTGCGGGACATTAGGCTGGGGGGGTTGGTTACTGCCCATCCCTGCAGCGCTGGACCTGGCAGCCACCTCTGCAGCACACCAAGGCTGGGGGGGGGGGCTCTGGGGCCCTGCAAGACCCTGGCTCTGGCTGCCATGGGTGCCCATCTTCCCCCAGCGATGCCCCTTTTCCAGCGTGACCTGTGTCACCAGAGCCTCTGGCTAGCAGAGAAATCCCGGGGTGGGACGGATGGCACGTGGTCTTCTCTGGGCAGCGGGTGAGTGAGCAGAACCCAGGTGCAGCGGGATGGGGCAGGAGGGTCAGGATGCAGCGGGATGGGGCAGGAGGGACGGGGCAGGAGGGTTGGGATGCAGGCAGGAGGCAGGAGGGATGGGGCAGGAGATGCAGTGGGGGATGCAGTGGGACGGGGCAGGAGGGATGGGGCAGGAGGGTTGGGATGCAGTGGGATGGGGCAGGAGGGTCGGGGCACGGTGGGACGGGGCAGCCTCACCTTCTGGGGCTCCAGCAGGCTCAGGGGCATGTTGCCACCACTGAAGATCTCCCAGAGGGTCGCCCCGAAGCTCCACTTGTCAGCCGGCAGCGCCAGGCTCTTGGGGTTGCTGAGGCACTCAGGGGCCACCCAGGGGATGCGCTCCACCAGCACTGGGAAGAGGGGGATGGCCCCGCTCAGCACCCGCCGGGGGGGGCCCTGCCACACCCCCCCCCGACACCCTGGGTGAGCCCAAGCACTTACTCTCTTTGGCCAGGACGGTGACGCTGACTCCGGGGTCGTTGAGCTTGATGAAGGGAGGGCTGCCACTGGCAGCGTCCCCCTCCCGGGTCAGCAGCACCTTCTTAGCGGAGACGTTGCCGTGGGTGATTTTCTTGTCCTCCTGGGGAGGGCAGAGGGACCAGGACCCTCAGCACAGCCCCAGCCCATGGGGCAGCCCCATGCATGGGGCTGAGCCAGTGCCAGCCGGGGTGAACAGACAGGGATGAGTGGGAGCCATGGGGATGCAGATGCACGGGAGTCGTGGGACACGGATGCGTGGCAGCCGTGGGACATGGATACATGGGACTCATGGGACATGGATGCGCAGGTGCTGAAGGATGCAGATGCACAGGAGCCACAGGACATGGATGCATTGGAGTTGCAGGACATGGATACATGGGAGCCATGGGATGAGGACATGGGAGAGCTGTGGGATGCTGACACACAGGAGCTGCAGGACACGTGTGCAGGAGCTGCAGGACACGTGGACCACAGGACATGGGAGAGCTGTGGGATGCTGACGCACAGGAGCTGCAGGACACGTGGACCACACGCTCGGTGCCATGCCGGCAGCCGGCTCACCAGGTAGTTGAGGGCGTACGCCAGCTGCTTGGCCACCTGCAGCTT